AATGCCTCTCTAAGGGCTACTTTTATGTATATATATTATGTATTAGTCTATTGTTTTAATTTTTTTTTTTTTTNTTTTTTTTTTTTTTTTTTTTTAAATTTTTGTAAAAGCTTCTCAATTCAGCCTTTGGATGCAAAAAGCTTCTAACCTACTGTACTATGTATGTATGAAGTATGTGTTTCTGCAAATAAACCAGTCTATATTGACGTCATTGCTAGGCTCATGCATGTCAACACTGAAATAGCTTTGTAACACGAATACTGTCAGGTTGTTCAAGGGTAAAATCATGTACGTAATATGTCCCATGACCAATTTGTTATACATGTAGTTGCTATTTTCTTAGCTACCCTGTGACCGTGAGCCAGACTGAATATCAGGCCCTTATAATTAGACCCCATTCACATTAAAAAAAATTGAAAATGATCCAGATTGAGCATCAAATTGTCCTCAGAAATTATCTCTCCGGATTGACAATGGGTTCACACTGCTTTTCGCTGATCCGGATTGCGACGCACTGAAAATGGATGGAGGAGTCACGTGGAATACAGCAGAGCCCGCCATCTAATTCTTGAACGCGGAGCCGCTGCAACTCCGCCGTAAATTTTGCCAAAAAAGAAACTCAAAAAGTATGCACAGCTTTAGCATATATAATATTTTATAGAGAGCACCTCTGTGATGCAGGTTAACATGTATCTGGGGGCAGTGGTAGCCTGAGGTATTTAGTATCAGCAAACAGAAATAGTATTTCATTCTGTATGTTGTGTTAAAATTTTTAGCCCTTGAATTTGTGATGGTAGCACGGCTTGTATTCAACATTTCAAGATATGTTCAGTTACCTTTTGCTATCTTAAGATATTTTTAATGATTCGTGTTGCATTTTAACCATTGTATGTGTAATATAGTAATTTTAATGTGTAAATCAGTAAATCCCCTGGTGTGTCGTCGTGAGTACCGTCCGATGGTGACCACTTTGTATATTTGTTATTTTGGATAAGGGTAATTATGTTTTAACTAATTAGTACATTCTGTAGTTGCAACCAATTCAGGGCCCATGCCCTGCGAGATGTAACATGTGCGTGAAGAACAATAAACCAGTATTACCTTCCCTGCCCAGATGCCTCAGGAAAGCGTATTGAGGTGGCTAACCCTGTGGTGGAACTGGATGGAGATGAGATGACCAGGATCATCTGGGACATGATCAAACAGAAGGTAACTTCTCACCACTGAGTAGGGCTCCAAATAACCACATGCAACTTGTAATTACCTCCATGAAAAATGGAGGTATTGTTTTTGTCTGTCTGTATGTCTGTGTGTGTGTGTGTGTGTGTCTGTCTGTCTGTCTGTCTGTGTGTGTTTCCGCAACTTTGTAGTCAGCATAACTTCAGAACGGCTTTATGGATTGTGATGAAATTTGGTATGATAGTAAGTCTTGGAAAGACAAAGGTCAAGGTCAAGTATGGGCCTCCTGGTGGATGACCTTGGTACTGCAGCAGAACTTCCGGAAAGCTGGAAAAATATTGTTGCGAAATGAGAGAGACGGAAACTAAGGTAAATCTCTGTATTTTAACGCTGGATGTTCATTTTCCTGGCAGGCCTCCTTGTGTGTAGTGATCAAGAATGAATTTTTGTTCCGGTCCAAAAAACCGGTCCACCAACGTTTTGTTTTTTTCGGACCGGACCGATATTATTTTTCTGGTCCGTACCGGTCCACCTGGACTGGTGCGCAGCCCTATTCTAAACGCAGTTGTTTCCGAACTCTTCTTCAGTTGATCTTCCCCTACATCAACGTGGACTGTAAATACTACGACCTGGGTCTGCCCTACCGCGACCAGACTGACGACCAGGTCACCATCGACTGTGCTGAGGCCATCAAGAAGTACAACGTGGGCATCAAGTGTGCAACCATCACCCCAGATGAGGAAAGGGTTGTAGGTGAGCACTGTTCTCACTAGGCTGTTTGATTTCGACCCCCTATGCTGTGATTTAGCCCCCTACTCTGTCTTTTAACCAGCATAGGGGTGTTACTTTTGGGGGAGAACCTTATGACCCTTTAGGCTACGCCAATTTAATTTCTTGGTTAACAGATTTTTCTAGTAAAATAATTGAGCGGGCCGGGTGAGCGAAAAAAAAAATAAAATAAAAAGATTATGGCCCAAAATGGTATGATAGAAGCCATGAAGTCAACACACCAGGCTGGTTCAAAATTTAAACAATAAATTCTGTACTTTTAATGAAACCACTGCATTGAAAGATGGAATAACTAACTACTAGGAAGAAAAGGACTGTTTTCAACTGTTCAGGGCAAAATATGAGCATTTTGCAGTTGATTCTGAATTTTTATTTTTATTTGCAAATCAGAAAAAAATGAAGCGGGCGAATCCGTTAACAAAGAAATTAAATTGGTGTGGCCTTATGAATCTTTAAAAAAAAAACTAAAAATTTGACTTTAGAATGAAGGTATAAAACAGGGAAAACAGAACTTTACAAATTTTGTCCCTCAGTATTAAAGTAAGAAATAATGTCTTGTGGGGTTATAAGTTTATAAATTTTTTTTGGAGAGTACCAGAACCCCAACTGTGGCGGAAAGTTGTCCTTCCATATCTGACCCCTACGCAGTGAAAATCTGGAGAAAACTGTTGTTTTGTTGGCCAGATGGTGGGCTTATAAAGGTTTTCAATGGGCAATTGTACATGTACATGTGTTGTTAAGACCCAGATATATAACACAGCAGTATAATCTAAACACGGATAGTGAGTGAGTGATATATCACACAACCAACATGCATCTTGATTTGCCTCTCCAGAGTTCGACTTGAAGCAGATGTGGAGATCCCCCAATGGAACGATCCGTAACATCCTGGGTGGAACAGTGTTCCGCGAGCCAATCATCTGCAAGACCGTACCCCGCCTTGTTCCCGGCTGGACGCAGGCCATCGTCATTGGCCGTCACGCTCACGGCGACCAGGTACATCCGACAACTTCTCTCCATTACTCACCCAGTGTCCAAAATACCTGTCTGCAATCTGCAGATAGATTTTCAAGATTGCAGAAGAAAAATTTATACAATCTGCAATTTTGCAGAAGGAAAAATAGGCTCCAGATTCAATAGTTTTCAATGTAGCAAACTAGAACTCTCTGGCCCCAAGGACAGACAACACTTAAGCTCCTGTTTTGAAACAACAGGAGCTTCTTCATTAATTTGCATCATCCTTGTCTTGACTTGTCTATCTTTTGTTTCCCTTTGGACTTACTCTCTGTGGAGAAGGATCTATAAAGTCTGAAATTAAAAAGAGTGATAGATTAAACTTAAAAGAATTCCAATAATGCTACAGATTTACAAAGCTATATATGATGTAAAAAAGACATTAATGGTTTGAGAAGGTTGTAGTATGGAGGCTTGTGTATTTGCAGAAAGTATTTTCAAGTTGCAGAACAAAATTTTGACTCTTCTGCAATATTGCAGAGCACTGAAAAAAAGTATTTCGACCACTGCTCACCTGTTACAGAATGATCATTGCGTCAGCGCTTACCAAGTACTTTTACCATGTACAAAATGAGCACTTATGAACAAGGTTGAACTGTAGTGTGATTGCCAACACAAAAAATTGGACTCACACAAATTTTCGACTGTACAACTCCAGTCTCTGTCAAGGAATGAGCAATCCACTGCTTCCGTGACGTCACACAGATAACACACGTGACTCTGTGAGCAGTGGATCATAGGTTGCAGTCTTTCAGTCATAAGTCTGTGGCGCCAATTTTTGTGTCAACTTGGCAATTACTGTTCAACCTTGTTCATAATGACTTCTACCAACACAGATGAGTTTTCAAGATACATTTGTAAAGAAGAGTACTGTTAATTTCATGCTCCCACTGAAAATTACCTGCAGCAGATAAATTTTACCTGCACCAGCTAGAATATAGGAAGTATGGATCACGCTAAAAACTATTCAAAAACAGTATTCTTTATATTTCTTTTGTGCTTCGTAGATGGTAACAGTCAATGCAGCAAATAAATATCCATATATACCTACATGTATCAATAAACCCAGTGCAGGTAGACATCAGAAATTCCTGCACAGCTATAATTTTATGAGCCCTGTAATCGCAGACAATAATAAAATGAAAAGATATTGGCTGAATGTCACACTCTTGTTCATATAATCTTGACTGTGTAGAAGACGACTACTAAAAGATTTTTTTACAAATCTAACTTCTGGTATAGAATTTTCTTCTTACACAACCAGTAAGGTTCTCACCTGCTTACGTTTCGATGTCTATCAGACACCTTCCTCAGAGCTTCTGACTGGAGTTCTGCAACTCGCCGCTATTTATCGCCAAAGTAGGTGGCGCTTTTGCGGCGAGAATGCAATCCCAAACGTGAGGAAGGTGTCTGATAGACATCGAAATGTAAGCAGGTGAGAACCTTACTGGTTGTGTAAGAAGAAAATTCTATACCCTAAGTATCTTCCAACCTGATGAAATTATTTACGGAAATCTAACTTCTGCTTTCCCTGTGCAGTACAAGGCCACGGACTTCGTGGCGGAGAAGGAAGGGAAGTTTGAGATGGTGTTTACCCCCTCTGACGGCAGCGAACCAACCAGAATGGAGGTGTTTGACTTCAAAAATGGAGGTGGCTGTGGCATGGGCATGTACAACACTGATGAGGTAGGCTGCCCTGGCTTCTCAAAAATGTACTTACAGGGTTCTAGCTAGGATCATGTAATTTTAGCGTAGTGGTACTGGCCACCTGTCGATGGGCCCTCCTTCCGCGGTGCGGAGCTTTTAAAAATTTGAGCTAAAAAAGGGGCCATTTCAGGGATACCCAAAGGGAAAAAAAGTTATTTCTAAGGTATGTACTTGATTGGTAATTTTCCACATTTGATCTTACATTCTTGAACAAAGAAATACAGTCACAATGCCCCTATGCTGTATTTTAGGCCCCCTACGCTACTTTGTACTAGCTAGAACCCTGATCATGAGTCTTAAGATTGTGTACATGTATAAATTAATTCCTAAACAGGGTTCTCACTAGACTGTTTGAGCGTAGGGACCACCTACACTGTGGTTTGGACCCCCTATGCTATGATGTAGCCCCTTACACTGTCTTTCACCCAGTGTAGGGGTGTTTCTTTTTTGGGGAGAATCTTGTAAACTTTCTTAAATCTTTGACAAAATTCAAATATGACTAAATTAGAATGAAGCTAAAACATAACTTAACAAAATTGGTCCCTCAATAAGCAGGAAATAGTGTCTCAGGGGGTTATGAGTTTTAACAAGTTTTCGCAGAGAAATCAAAACCCCCTACTGTGGCCATATCTTTGGATCCTTCTGTACCTGACCCTTACACTGTGAATAGATTTTGTTCTGGACATGCTAGGGTCACAAATTTTGGTTGGTAGATAGGTCTTGGGGTAGGAAAGAAGAGACATGAGTTTGGGCCTCCTAGCGGCTTGTTCTGGAACTGCAGGAGCATTTGTTGAAAAATTTTCATGAGAGGATAACTCATGAACCAGTTGACAGATTGTCATGATTTTTAATATGTAGGTAGCTGAAGGGATGATTGACATAATCAGATGACAATTATGCAAATCAGGAACTAATTTGCATAATCAATGAGGAAATTCTATAAACTGCTATGTTCGATAATATTACTATGAAACACTTGTGACATGTAATTGAGAATGAGATAAAACAACTGAGGATATAGATTATGTAAATGAAGACCTAATCTGCATAATTTATGGGAATTTTTTATAATTTCATAGTTGTAACTGCTGGGAATTTTTACTTGCCACATTTGGAAGTTAAGTGAAGGTGAACATCAATAAACATAATTTATTCAAATGACCTCATTTGCATAATTTATGAGGAAGTGCTATAATAGCCTTTTTGCTAAGATAATGATAATTGGGTGGAGAATATGATCAACTGATATAATTCATGCAAATGAGGCTCTTATTTACGAAATCAATGATTAAATTTGTATAATTCGTCAACTGCAAGGGTTGACATCATTTGGTGAAGGTATGAGATCGTGGAACTCTTGTTTTATCTGACATCTGAATTTCCACCCCTCTGAATTTCTGAAATGTCATTTCAGGCATTTTAGTAGCAATTTTTTCTCAGTAAATCGAGGGAGATACATGTATATTTGTCCACAAGCAAACAGTTGGACAGGTCTTTTAAACAGTCTCAATGGTTTAACCTTATTTGTTTGAACATTTTAGCCGAAATCTTAAAAAAAAGAAGAGAATCCGTAGCTACTGACCCTAGCTTTTTTTCAAGACTGAAACTGTAAACACATATTAATTTTCCTAGTCCTTGCTCTACATGTATGTTGGTTGTTTGACATAGATACAGGTACAGTAGAAATACCCTAACAGTGTTCGAAATACCTGTCTGCAGTCTGCAATCTGCAGATAGATTTTCAAGATTGCAGAAGAAAAATTTATACAATCTGCAATTTTGCAGCAGGAAAAATTGGCACTTGGGATTTGGTGCTCTTGGCCCCAAGGACAGACAACACTTAGGTTCCTGTTCTGAAACAACAGGAGCTTCTTAACTAATTTACATCAACCTTGTCTTGACTTGTTTATCTTTTGTTTCCTTTTGGACTTCCAAAAATTTGTCTTCACTAATTTGCATATCAATCAATAGTTCATGGCATTGCTTATAAACTTTCAAGATTGTAGTATGGAGGCTTGTGTATTTGCAGAAAGTATTTCCAAATTGCAGAACAAAATTTTGACTCTTCTGCAATATTGCAGAGCACTGAAAAAAAGGATTTTGACCACTGCCTAACATTTGTCTGTATCTGTCCAGTCCATCACAGGGTTTGCCCACAGTTGTATGCAGTATGCCATCAACAAGGGCTGGCCTCTCTACATGTCCACCAAGAACACCATCCTGAAGAGATACGACGGCAGGTTCAAGGACATCTTCGAGGACATCTACCAAAAGTATGCACTCGCTTTACTTTGTATAGATTCTAAACTCTTAAGAATACCTTTCGATAATTAAGGTAAACCATTCACACCTAGAAGGGTGGTATGAAAAACTTGCTGTTAAGGTAAGATTGAATCAAACAAGAATTTGAATACCAGTTTTTTTTACTTCACACCCAATTCCTGCTTTTTTTTGTTTGAATCATTCTTTATTCATGAGAAGCTCAAATTGGCCTGCAGGCCGCTTTTTTATTGAGGTCACGGGGGAAGACAAAATATAGAACACACTGATACAGTTTACATCAAGTCCTAATAAATCTATACACATACAAAATGTATTTTTACACAATCTGGACCAGGATGCTGTCACCATGGTAACTGGTGCCATTGCAGAACAGCCTGTGGTGTTGGGTTACATTATGTAGCAAGTGGCAGGACAGAGTTGGAGGGGTAAAATACCTAATTTGGGGAACTGGTGTACGGCTTGTGTCCATTTTGGTCCTTACTGATTTTAAACTGTTTCTTCCCTCAGACATTACAAGAACGACTTTGAGTCGCGGAAGATCTGGTACGAGCACCGTCTGATTGATGACATGGTTGCCCAGGTGCTGAAGTCGTCCGGAGGGTTCGTGTGGGCCTGCAAGAACTACGATGGAGATGTGCAGTCTGACGTGGTCGCTCAAGGTTTGGTTCACCTCCCTGTCTGCAGTTTTGTGTTGAAGTCCAGGGCTCAAAATACTCTTTTCTGCACATCTGCACCAGTATACTATTAGGTAACATTGAAAATTACCTGCACCCGACAAATTTTACCTCCACCACTCGGACATGTCAGCAAAATGTACTGCAGCTGCGCAAAACCCAAAGTTGTCACTGTTTTCTTTGGATGTTTGGTCAACATTGCATCAGAATTTGGCCCGTTGCAGACATGTTTTCTGACACAACATAATTATGAAAACTAGAGGTGGAATCATCCTTGAATACACAAATCTGACCTGAAAAAAATGATACCTTCTGCCAAAGTTCTATGTACAATACATTACAGGGTTTCACACAGATGCAGAACATTCAGTACATGCTGTCTAGTTCTCTGTACAACGTTTTTGCAAGAATATACCTCAGGTACAGAGCTGCAACTCGTAGTAAATTGGAACTGACCCAACTTTGTGGCATCGCGTGGCGTAATGGTTAAAAGCTTTCAGTTCGGAACCAAGAGGTTCCTGGTTCAATCCCCTGGCATGCCTGATGTTGTGCCCTTCGGAAAGGCACTGTACATGACTTTCCTCACTGTACGGTTGAGTGACAGCCACCGGGCCTTTTGGCTAATCGTTGATACTGTGTCCTTGCTTGAACAGGATACGGTTCCCTGGGACTGATGACCAGTGTCCTGGTGTGTCCTGATGGTAAGACCATCGAGGCCGAAGCTGCCCACGGCACTGTGACCAGACATTACCNTTTTTGGGTTGGGCCGCTCCATAGTGTTAGTGGAGCAGCTCTTTGTAAACATGGACAATATTTTTGAGCAACCCATCAATGTGTTCTGCCTCGTGGTCGGACGTGGTCTGGGGCTGGTAAACCGCACATACAGTACTAGTAGATCGGGTAATTTTATGATTTGCTAGTTGTAAAGGCGTCGTGTAGTATGAGCCGGTATATGAAGAAGTAGCCTGTGTTACACAATCATGCTTTCGGCCGGATTGATGTGCAACTGTTACTAATTGCAGGGACTGCGCTAATGCCGACCAGTCGCGCTGTCCTGATAAACCGCGAATGTGCGAGTGTTCCCTGTAGACAGTCCCGGGAGTCATTTTTTTCGCACATTCCAGGAGCCAAACCAAAATACGTTCATGAACCGAGTCCAAAAAACCGAAACGTAGAAAATCGGATGATCGAACCTGATGTACATTTCTCTTTCTGTAGATTGTACACACAACACACACATCTTTAGATAATCTGGCCATGGCAGGTAAAAAAAAGTAACCCTGAATCATACTAGATTAGCGTAAATGCATGTTTATGCGTTCAAAACAAGAAAAGAATTTGTTTCCCGGTATTAATCTCTTGAAACACGGCGCTGAATATTGACGCAAAAAATATTTCGGGCATCGCGTGCCCTTCCCCGTTGTTTAGACTGTATGCAAATCCTGCGTCACATGTCGGCATTTCGCATCTCTGATTGGTTGTTGCGTCTTAAGATGACTGAGCCGACGCGCGTTTAAACAATTTTTCTTTGTTCGATTTATCACACTTCACAGAGAATTGTCGCCAATGGCTACTTCTTTTTGTTGCAATATATAATACTTCACGGAGAATTGTCGCCTATGGCTTCTTGTTACTTTTTTTTTCGCCCGCCCGCTCCATTATTTTTCCAGAAAAATCCGTTAACCAAGAAATTAAATTGGTGTGGCCTTACACTGTCTTTCAAAATCTTGTAAACTTTCTGAAATCTTTGACAAAATTCAAGTTTGACTAAATTAGAATGAAGCTAAAACATAATTGAACAAAATCGGTACCTCAATAAGCAGGAAATAGTGTCTCAGAGGGTTATGAGTTTAACAAGTTTTTGCAGAGAAATCAAAACCCCCTACTGTGGCCATATCTTTGGATCCTTCTGCACCTGACCCTTGCACTGTGAATAAATTTTGGTGAGAACTCTGAATGAGGTCAGGTGAAGTTAAACATTTAAATAAGGCCTTTATAGTAAGTAAATGGAAGTTTGGGGATGTTCAACATTTTTTCCCAGGCCTTTTAAAAAGGTCTAGGAAAAAATGTTGGGTTTCCAGTTTCCCCACCTACCCTAGCAGAAACTTGCCAACCCTAGCATTTTTTTGCTGACCCATGTTAAGGCTATAAATTTTTTTAATCTGACATCTGAGTTTCCACCCCTCTGAATTTCTGAAATGTCATTTCAGGCATTTTAGTAGCAATTTTTTCACAGTAAATCGAGGGAGATATATTTGTCCACAAGCAAACTAACTGGTGGACAGGTCTTTTAGACAGTCTCAATGGTTTAACCTTATTTGTTGGAACATTTTAGCCGAAAGAAAATCCGTAGCTACTGACCCTAGTTTTTTTTCAAGACTGAAACTGTAAACACAAATTAATTTTCCTAGTCCTTGCTCTGTATGTATGTTGGTTGTTTGACACAGATACAGGTACAGTAGAAATGCCCTAACATTTGTCTGTTATCTGTCCAGTCCATCACAGGATTTGCCCACAGTTGCATGCAGTATGCCATTAACAAGGGCTGGCCTCTCTACATGTCCACCAAGAACACCATCCTGAAGAGATACGACGGCAGGTTCAAGGACATCTTCGAGGACATCTACCAAAAGTATGCACTCGCTTTACTTTGTATAGATTCTAAACTCTTAAGAATACCTTTTGATAATTAAGGTAAACCATTCACACCTCAGTGGTGCAAACCTAAACCCAATTTTAGGTTCAGGTCCGGATTCATTAGTCCAGAGGTCTAGGTTCAGGTCCGGACTTGTAAGTCCAGACCTAAACCCATGGCATATACAAAATTGCATGTTGGCAACCTTGCAATGTTGTCTGGGTGAAACTTTGGCCACATAACATGGAGGCCGGTACTTGACGATGCCCGATGGCAATGTTTTCTTCGTTTTGCAGCAAAGATTTTACAATGTACGGAAGGATTTAAAGAAAAGGGGTATGTGAAATGGTCTTTTATGGTAATAAGTCTGGACTCGGTTCTTGACTTTTAGGTTTTTTTGGACTTGAACCTAAACATTCTTACAAGTCCGGATCCAAGTCCAGTGAACCGGTATGCACCACTATTCACACCTAGAAGGGTGATATGAAAAACTTGCTGTTCAGGTAAGATTGAATCACAACCCAGTGTTAAAGCCATTTATATGTAAGAATTTGAATACCAGTTTTTTTTTACTTCACACCCAATTCCTGCTTTATTTTTGTTTGATCATTCTTTATTCATGAGACGCTCAAATTAGCCTGCAGGCCGCTTTTTATTGAGGTCACGGGGGAAGACAAAATATAGAACACACTGATACAGTTTACATCATTCAAAGTCCTAATAAATCTATACACATACAAAATGTATTTTTACACCATCTGGACCAGATTGCTGTCACCATGGTAACTGGTGCTTTTGCAGAACAGCCTGTGGTGTTGGGTTACATTATGTAACAAGTGGCAGGACAGAGTTGGAGGGGTAAAATACATAAGATGGGGAACTGGTGTATGGCTTGTGTCTGTTTTGGTCCTATCTGATTTTAAATTATTGCTTCCCCTCAGACATTACAAGAACGACTTTGAGTCGCGGAAGATCTGGTACGAGCACCGTCTGATTGACGACATGGTCGCCCAGGTGCTGAAGTCGTCAGGAGGGTTTGTGTGGGCCTGCAAGAACTATGATGGAGATGTGCAGTCTGATGTGGTCGCACAAGGTGGGCTTCACCTCCCTGTCTGCAGTCACTGGTAGAGCCAAAAATGTCTATAAAACGTCTAACGGACATTTAATATTCTCGAAAGTTCTGCACATTTTTTAAACATTTGTAAGAATGTCTCTCCAAGGTCTTTACAGGGTCTTTTTGGGAAGGACTTGCTTGTTGTGTTTTCCATTGTTCATGAGGTGTCTGTCAGAATGTCTTTAGAAAAAAGTGTGAAAACTTGCATGCATATGAAAAGCACTGCACAAAGCCAAGACAATTTATAAGGGAGGACACCATTAATTAACAGACAGATGCTTAAGTGCGCATTGTGGTGAACAAAGGACTCTCTCCTATGGATATAAAATGTCCACCTTGGGTTATGTAATGTTGTTTTTCAGTAAATGTCTACTTAATGTTCTCCCGACTGGCCTTTGTTCAGCAATGTCTAAATCATGTCTAATGTCCGTTAGACGTTTTATAGACATTTTTGGCTCTACCAGTGAGTTTTGTGTTTATTCAATATTTATTTATGAAGATTTACTGCATTTGTGGAAGGATTGACATAACAGGTGATTATCACCTCTTGAAGATGTCAACCCTGAAACCAGACTGTAAGGTAGAACCACTCCCACTGGGAAAGTTCCCTACTCTTTTCGACAAGTGTAATGGGTACTTTAACGTGCGTGGGGTGTGGCCCTCCCAATCACAAGAGCTCCATTTAATGTCCTGGCCGAGGGACACCCCTAACCGAGGCAAGGTACTCATTTACACCTGTGTGAAGTGAGGAAAGTTGTGTAAAGTGCCTTTCCCAAGGGCACAAGATTGGTGGCACCAGGTAGGATTCGAACCTGGGACCTCTTGGGTCTGAGCCAAACACTCTGCCGTTTTGCCACACGAACCCCTGTGTTGGAGTCCAAGGCTCAAAATACTCTTTTCTGCACATCTGCACCAGTACAGGTAACATTGAAAATTACCTGCACCAGACAAATTTTACGTCCACCACTCGGACAGCATGTCAGCAAAACGTACTGCAGCTGCGCAAAACCCAAAGTTGTCACTGTTTTCTTTGGATGTTTGGTCAACATTGCATCAGAATTTTGCCCGTTGCAGACATGTTTTCTGACACAACATGTGAAAAGTAGAAGTGGAATCATCCTTGAAGACACAAATCTGACCTGAAAAATTGATACCTTCTGCCAAAGTTCTATGTACAATACATTACAGGGTTTCACACAGGTGCAGTACATTCTGCCGACATGCTGTCTAGTTCTCTGTACAAAGTTTTTGCAAGAGAATACCTTAGGTAAAGAGTTGCAACTCGTAGTAAATTGGAACTGACCCGACTTTGTGGCATCGCGTGGCGTAATGGTCAAAAGCTTTCAGTTCGGAAGCAAGAGGTCCCTGGTTCAATCCCTGATGTTGTGCCCTTGGGAAAGGCACTGTACATGACTTTCCTCACTGTACGGTGGAGTGACAGGCACCGGGCCTTTTGGCTAATCGTTGATACTGTGTCCTTGCTTGACCAGGATACGGTTCCCTGGGACTGATGACCAGTGTCCTGGTGTGTCCTGATGGTAAGACCATCGAGGCCGAGGCTGCCCACGGCACTGTGACCAGACATTACCGGGAACACCAGAAGGTAAGGCCACACCAATTTAATTTGTTGTTTCTCAGATTTTTTCAGGAAAAATATGAAGCGACAGGGTGAAATAAAATTTAAAAAAAACAGGCCAAGGTACTCCATGATAGCCGGAAATGTTTCTATATGAGCCATGAAGTGAACGTACCAAGCTGGTTTATAATCAGAACAATAGGTTTTGAACTTTTAATGAAACAAAATTGCATTGTTACATTGAAAAACTTTAACAACTAGGAAGAAAAGGACTTTCTTCAACCATTGGGCCAAAATATTGTCTTTCATTGAGCATTTTGCAGTTGACTTAGAACAAAATTAAATTTTCTTTTTTTGCAAATCAGAAAAAATGGACAGGGCGAATCCGAGAAACAACAAATTAAATTGGTGTGGCCTAAGTAGCAAACAACTGCTGCATCCACACAGGCTACAGCAAGTAACTTTATGGATGACATCGTCCCAAACAAATTTGATGCGATGGGGAAAAAAAAAAGATTCCTACATTATGACTTTTTTAGATCATAAACCTTGTTAAACAAGAATTTAGGTGACAAAACCATAATACCTTGTAGAACAAGAGAGCATTAAAACAATTATTTAATTAATAATTACATATCAGGATAAAATTGACCTGAAATTGCCTATTTAAGTTAAAACATAATGGAGATATACATATTTTGAAACATGGATAAAATATGTGTCATTAATATACAGAACATAATTATTTATTCATTACGCTATTATTTTGCATGGTCCAATTTTTTCTTACTGTTTAGCAAGATTATAAGTACGCTATTCTGCTTCATCTGTATTTTCTAGTTTTGGGTTTGATGTACTGAAAATCACTTCATCTTCGGGGTAGCAAAATTTCACGGTTTGAGGAAAATGGACTTTTTCACGAAACTAAATATCCGTGGTGGCGGCAGGCGCAGAAGAAAAAAAGTCTGCGAATTATTTGTTCGCGGCAATGATAAATTCTCGGTACAGAGGTGACGGAGAAAACCACAACTATTTAAGTACTATACCACAAATATTAAGTTATTTGCAGTAGTCTTTTTGGTATCCTATTGCCTGGTGTGTAGTGCTGCATACCGGTTCACTGGACTTGCATCCGGACTTGTAAGAATGTTTAGGTTCAAGTCCAAAAAAACCTAAAAGTCAAGACTTATTACCATAAAAAAGACCATTTTGCATACTCCTTTTCTTTCCAAACCACCTAAAACCTTCTTTAGGTTCCAAAATGATGATGAGATTCCAAAATCTTTGCTGCAAAATGAAGAAAACATTGCCATCGGGCATCGTCAAGTGTCGGCCTCCATGTTCTGTGACCAAAGTTTCACCCAGACAACATTGCAAGGTTGGCAACATGCAATTTTGTATATACCATGGGTTTAGGTCCGGACTTACAAGTTCGGAACTGAACCTAAACCTCTGGACTTGAATCTGGACCTGAACCTGAATGTGGGTTTAGGTATGCAGCACTACTGGTGTGTGTTGATCATCTATAATGTGTCGTCCACAGGGAAACCCAACGAGTACCAACCCCATCGCCAGCATCTTTGCCTGGACAAGAGGTCTGGAGCACCGGGGTAAACTGGACGGGAACCAGGATCTAGTCAAGTATGGGGAAACTTTGTGCTTATCAATATCATAAATAGAGGTGAAGCAACACCATATTAAATAATTGTTTATTGCAAATTCTTTCCCGAGGGCTAATTGCAGAAACAGAAGAAATATGGTATAAAAACAGGCAATTAGTACATATAGAACTATTGATAACTACTAAGAAACTACTGGTAAAAAAAAAAAAAAATTAAAAAGGCATGATGTAACATTTTCGCACCAAAAATTGAAATTCTAAGTTGAAATATCTTTTTAATTAGAAATATTTCTGTGTGATTCTGATTTACATGTACTTCCACTTTTCAACATATTTGTGGAATTATCCCACATTTCTGATATTTATGGTTGGAGCTAAGCCAGCCCACATGTGGTGCACTCAGTTTGTGTCACCACCACAAACTACCAGAATGTAAACACAACATGGCAGACAGCTGTGTTGGATTGATTGAAGTTACTACATTAAAATACCCGGTAAGGCCACACCAATTTAATTTCTTGGTTAACGGATTCGCCCGCTTCATTTTTTTCTGATTTGCAAATAAAAATAAAAATTCAGAATCAACTGCAAAATGCTATTTTGCCCTGAACAGTTGAAAACAGTCCTTTTCATCCTAGTTGTTACAGTTATTCCATCTTTCAATGCAGTGGTATCATTAAAAGTTCAAAATTCATTGTTTAAATTTTGAACTACAACTGTAGCCTGGTGTGTTGACTTTATGGCTCCTATCGTACCGTTTTGGGCCATAATAGGATGCCTAGGCCTGTTTTTATTTTTTATTTTTTTCGCCCGCCCGCCCGCTCCATTATTTTTCTAGAAAAATCTGTTAACCAAGAAATTAAATTGGTGTGGCCTAATGGCCAGAAAGTTGACTTTGAAGATCCAGTTTTGCTGCCGTGGAATTGCATCGGATGCCTTTAACTAAGTACCGGGATGTATTTTGTGTTGTAGGTTCTGCCAGACCCTTGAGCAGGCCTGTATTGACACAGTGGACTCTGGGAAGATGACCAAGGACTTGGCTGGATGTGTCTACGGAGGCATGGCCAAGTGAGTTAACTTGACATAAGCACACAGCAATAATGACATTATGACAGAAGTAGATAAAGATGTTTAAGCCCGTATCCATTTTTCCGTCATTTGACAGAATTTTGCCTCTCGTGACAGACAAAAATTTTGCCCAATCTTGGTGGACAAAAATCAGCATGTACATGTAAAGATATGGACGAGAGGTGTTTAAACTAAGCTTAGTCTATCAGCAAAATTTGTCCCGCAAAATGCATTTAATAGCATTTCATAATGATTAAGATAGCCCAAGAACCCTGATTATCATGTCTCTAGTGCTTAAAATGATGTTACTGGTACAACGAAGAAAATTGAGATTATGAAAAAAAAAATCAGCATTGGATTAACATTTAGCTATAGTAATATCAAAACAGTGTTGCAAGAAAAACAAGGGTAACGTAGGTGACTGACTTGTTCCTGAGTGAAGAGACTCTTTTTACACAACGCATTGCAGCACAGGTGTCGCTGCTACAGATGCATTCCCAAATGTACAATATTTACATATCTACACATATGCCTTGTGAACCAGTCAGAATTGCCCTGAGGAAGGTGACAGGCGGTCACCGAAACGTCGGCTGAACAAAAGAATTGGTCGGGTAAAAATGGTCTCTTCACTCAGTGTCTTACCAACCTGATGAAACTATAATAATTGACGGATCTGACTTGTTTCTGTTTCACCTCATCCCTGCAGTGTAAAGCCAGGCCAGTACCTGTACACCATGGACTTCCTGGAGGCTATAGAGGAAGAACTGAAGAGGAAGATGGGCAACTAGTGTGAACCAAACAGTGCTTCATGTGGAACAGTTCATGTCACAAGGGACTGTAGTGCCGAACCATGTGTGTTGTATGCAGTGTATACTATATTGGGAGAACTCCAAATAAAAGTTCTGTACCGTGTACCGCCTCAATTAAATTAGCAAAAACCCGAAAAACACATGAAAGTAAAGCAATAGAGGAGAGAAATTGCTGTTGATACTAAATTATTGCCTCACTTCTTTATCACCAAAGTTGCCATGTCAGAGTGTACAAGAAGAAATTGTGGAGATAAAAAAACTTGTAGTGCTAAACCTAGGAGTGCGAAAAAGATTGCTGTGAAAATTCTAAATATGTGGTTTGTTGATTGTGTGTATGTTACACATGTGCCAGTACTAGTCTATATTCCAACTGCCTGAACAGTAAAAGTTACCCCAACTTAGTACTGATACTTGTCTAGTCTGGCTAACCTCAGCACCCCAATCATCAGCACCCCAAACCTCAGCACCCCAAACCTCAGCACCCCAAATCCTCAGCACCCCAAACCTCAGCACCCNCTTCATTGAGCATTTTGCATTGACTTAGAACAAAATTAAATTTTCTTTTTTTGCAAATCAGAAAAAATGGACAGGGCGAATCCGAGAAACAACAAATTAAATTGGTGTGGCCTAAGTAGCAAACAACTGTTGCATCCACACAGGCTACAGCAAGTAACTTTATGGATGACATCGTCCCAAACAAATTTGATGCGATAGGGAAAAAAAAAAGATTCCTACATTATGACTTTTTTAGATCATAAACCTTGTTAAACAAGAATTTAGGTGACAAAACCATAATGCCTTGTAGAACAAGAGAGCATTAAAACAATTATTTAATTAATAATTACATATCAGGATAAAATTGACCTAAAATTGCCTATTTAAGTTAAAACATAATGGAGATATACATATTTTGAAACATGGATAAAATATGTGTCATTAACATACAGAACATATTGATTATGCTATTATTTTGCATGGTCCAATTTTTCGTACTGTTCAACAAGGTTATAAGTACGATATTCTGCTTCATCTGTATTTTCTAGTTCTGGGTTTGATGTACTGAAAATCACTTCATCTTCGGGGTAGCAAAATTTCACGGTTTGAGGAAAATGGACTTTTTCACGAAACTAAATATCCGTGGTGGCGGCAGGTGCAGAAGAAAGAAAGTCTGCAAATTATTTGTTCGCGGTAAGGCCATGTTGATTTGATTATATGGATGACATCCGCGCGCGCATGAATTTTCGGCCGTTTCCAAAAAAAAAAGTTTTCAACCATACTGTAAATCGTACAAAACAGTTGCAAAATGAGCAAATATATACCGTAAGTTGCAAAAAGAATATTAAAAAATTACCAATGTCGCAAAATGCCAAAATCAAACAAAAAAGACGAAAATGTAAAGAGAAATGAATTTAAAGAGTAGATTATTCACCAAACCATACTCTGTGTCATTTTTTCAACCCTCATGACCACGTAGATTTCATAATGAAAAGAACTTTTTTTTTTGCATAACTTTTTTTTTTATTCGCACGCGCGCATCAGTTTTGGGGTTCCCGGAGGATGTCATCCATATAATCAAATCAACATGGCCTAATGATAAATTCTCGGTACAGAGGTGACGGAGAAAACCACAACTATTTAAGTACTATACCACAAATGTTAAGTTATTTGCAGTAGTCTGTCTGGTATCCTATTTGCCTGTGTTGATCATCTACATCTATAATGTGTCGACCACAGGGAAACCCAACGAGTACCAACCCCATCGCCAGTATCTTTGCCTGGACAAGAGGTCTGGAGCACCGGGGCAAACTGGACGGGAACCAGGATCTAGTCAAGTATGGGGAAACATTGTGCTTATCATACAAATAGAGATGAAGCAAGACCATATTAAAAAGGCATTATTTTGGCACCAAAAATTGAAATATTTTAATTGGAAATATCTTTTTGATTGGAAATATCTCTGTGTGATTCTGATTTACATGTACTTCCACTTTTCAACATATTTGTGGAATTATCCCACAATTCTGATATCTATGGTTGGAGCTAAGCCAGCCCACATGTGGTGCACTCAGTTTGTGGCACCACCACAAACTACCACCCTCCCGAGCAGGGTTAGTGTCTCGGCCTGGAAGTGTCCTCTCCTCTAACCCTGCCAATCCTGATTCGATTTGAGCCTCCAGCCCAGGAGGCTTATATTAATGAGCTTGCCTTATTTGGCACATGCTCTTGAGACTGTAACAGCGTTAGCTCTGCCGCTGCTCTGGCTGCGGCTGGAAAGCCCATGTAGCACAGGCTTTTCCCTCCGCCTGCCCTCACACTAAGGAATACGTCTCGTCCATCAAGCAGTCCCTGCAGCGTGCTGCTTTTTTGGTGTTCGTGAGGCTGTTTGATGCCGAAAAAGTCTTGTACGGCTGAGAAAACATTACCAGCCGCCATTACCATGCCTGTAGCCAGGATTTTGAATGGGGGGGTTCTTCCCACTGCTTGAGGGGACCTCGAGCGCCGTAGGCGCGAGGCGAGCGCCGAAGGCGCGAGGTTCCTAGGGGGGTCCGGGGGCAT